ATACATAGGCGTAAATTATATTTAGTTGCATTACAAAAGATATAACTTCTTAATTTTGGTAGTTTAAATGCTCAACATTCTGTACACTCACAAAACTCATTGATGATTGATTCGATATTAACACAAATACTATAATTAGTAGGCTGCCTAATTGTTAGACAAATATATTTTCCAGCAAAAAATGGATTGCCATACTACTACAAATGTCATACTTTTATTTGTATTGCACTATAAAATACGACATTTAGGTAAGAAAGTATAAATGTATTTGGTGGAAGACCATGATTGTCTAACAATTAAGTTGCCAAAAGAATGCTTACTGCGGTACTTATAGTTCTAGCAATACTCTTTCAAACCATTGAGTTGCAGATGTTGCATGTTCTTCTATTCCAGATTTACTTTTTAATTTTTTAATTATACGTAAGATAAAACACAAAATATTATTATACAATATTGAAATGATACTTACAAAAATAGGGTAAAATATGCCGCACCCCCTGTGTTTAATGAAATGTGCGCGTTATCTACCTGTGTTTTCAAAAATGCTCCATACCCCCTTATGTTTTATTTCCGTTTGCGCAAATTCCCCCCGACCGTTTAAGTTAACGCGTGTGTATGAAACGCGCCGAATTTTCGTGTGTTTCCCAGCTTTTCCACTGCATTTTCTGTCTGAAAGACCATTTTACCCCTTAGTGCTTCTTTAAATATACAGCTGCTCCAACGGTCTTCTTCCTCATTTGCCCGCATCATTGGAGAGAAGAAAGCAGGTATGTATGAATTTTTTTTTTCAGAGCTTTCCATTAATTTTTTTTTCAGCTTTCAATTTTATTTTTTCAGCTTCAATTCTTTTTGCAGCTTTCAGTTCTTTTTTGGCTTTCGGATTCATTTTTCTTCCAAAAATCATTTTTTTTTCTATCATTTTTTTTTTTCAAATCCAAACTCAGGCTGAAAATATCTCAGAAATCGAGGATGGAGAAGATTGAAAGATTGGATTTACGATACAGGCACCTAAAGTGTTACTGCAATGTGATTGCACAAATTAGGGTTGTTGGTCCTACAAAAACGACAGTTGGGAAGCTGTTTTGCAACTGTCCGAACAACAAATGTGCTTTTTTTGCTTAGTTTAAACCTACGACAGTGAATTGGGTGAAGCCGTGTGCTCATGAAAATGAAGATTGTGATGAAGATGATGATGAAGTTAAATCAACTGGAGCAAATATAGCAAATGAAAATGCTGAAGTCACATCAATGTTGAAGGAGATGCATTCTAGGATGGAGAAATTTGAAAAAAGATTTAACAATGGAGTGGTTCTTTTGGTTATTGCGATCCTTGTAGCTGTTATCATTCTTAAGTAATTGTAGACTATAATGTTTGATAATGTAAGTCTTTATTTTCTATGAATTCAATCATTCTCATATAATGCACAAAGAAAAAAATGAACAGAGTTGCAGCAGCTTGCTCAATATCATTCTCATATAATTCAATCATTCAAGGTGGAATGCATTAACAACTTGCTCAATATCCTATCCAACAACATGAATGCAAAACAATTGCCAAAGTAGAGTTGTAGCAACATATACAAAACATACCATCTGCATTAATGAACAAAACATATATACCAAAGTAGACTTATATAACATTAATACCAACAGACTTGTATAGCATAACAAAACATGTTCCAACCAAACATGATGCCAACAACATACTTCTAGCATATACAAAATATTGGTCAAATAATTGTACCACCATACCACTTCCAACACTTCCAACTTACACAAAATAACTGACCAATATGGTTATGAGACAAAGTACTGATTCAGATTATACAAAATAATGAAAGGTCCATTTTAACACACCTTCAGCTGGTAGGCACTAGATACTTTGTTGAGTGGAGCTTTGAGGGCCAGTGTTGTGGAAAAAGTCTTCAACAGGATCAGTAGGCTGAGTAGGCTGAGATGGAGGTTGCTGCAAATGTTCATGGATGTAAAAATAAATTATTAATAAAATATGTGAAGCGGAATGCATTAAATGAACAAAATCAGAATTTACCTGTTGAGGTGCACTAGAATTTTCCCTAGCCCTTTTCCTGCAGCTTCTCTTATTGTGATTCTTCTCCCCACACAATTGACAGGTCTTAAGATGACCTTTTCTGCTGGCACTTTCTCTCATTTTCCTCATATCATTCCCATCAGGCCTCATTTTCTTTGTTGGCCTACCTCTTTTTTTCACCGGATCAGGTGGTTGAATTGAGCCCATTCCAGACTCCTCAAAGTCATTCATCCCTGGAACAGGGTTGATCATATGACTATACACCCTGACATACATATCCTTTTTGAAAAAATCAGACACATAGTCAGAAAGATTCAACCTGTGATATGAGATGCATGCTAATGCATGGCAACATGGATACCCAACCAACTGAAACATTCCACAGGTGCAAGTTTTAGCATTCAACTGCACAACATGACTCTGAACCCCATGCACCACCTCATACTTATCTTCTCCACCCCAAGTTGGGAAACAATTTCTGCTCAAAATCCTTTGCTCTTCAATTTTTCTCACTGTGTTTGGACATATGTCCTCTGCATATTTTTCAATACCAGTTCTCTTCACCTGCATTCTTTCCATCATTCTTCTTCTTATCCACTCAAACATATCTATGATAGACATATCCCTAGCTTCTGATATGTAACTGTTGAAGGACTCTGACATGTTATTCACAATTACATCACACAGTGCATTGGAAGTGAATGAAGACCTTGCCCAGTGTTCTTCAGGGACAACCTTGAGCCACTCAAATGGAGTCACCTTGCCATCTTTCTTAGGGACAAGCCTATAGATTTCTTTCATGTACCTATTGTGTTCTCTAACACTGTATGTGCTGGTTGCCTTCCAAAACCACTTTCTTAATTCCAAATCACCCCATTCTTCTTGAAATTATTGTACATGTGTTTCAAGCAATACCTGTGTTCTGCTCCTTGGATTTGACCAACAACATCAAGCAATCCTTTCTGTCTATCAGAAACAAATGTCCACTTCTTCTCCAGGTATGGGTCTATATCTCTTAACAGCCTTTGGAATGAACCAGGTCCAAGAGTCCATCTTCTCAACTTCCACATAGGCCATTGCAATAGGCAGCATGTTGTCATTGTCATCCCTACCTACAGCTGATAGTAGTTGACCACCATGTAGGGTCTTCAGAAAACATCCATCAAGCCCTATAATGGGCCTGCATCCAATTACAAAGGCCTGCCTCATTGCACTAAAGCAAACATACATCCTCATAAACTTTGGAGGTGTAAAATCATGGTTCAGCTTTAGGATAAGGCTACTACCAGGGTTGTATTTCACCATAGTGGAACAATAGTCATACAGTCTCTTAAATTGCTCTCCAATGTCAACCTTCAACAATGACAAACCATAAGCTTTAACTCTGTACACCTTGTGAATACTTATATCAACTCCACAATTTCTCTTAATTTTGTTTTTCAGACTTCGAAGTGGCTCACCAGGATTGTCTCTCAATGTGTCCATCATCCCTCTCCCAAGATACTTGTAATCTGCTTGTTTGTTTTCTGTTCTGTAAGCACATGAGTGTGTGCCTTTCATGGTCTTGATCTAAAATGTTGACATATCAGCTATGACTGAGGCCCTCAAAGACCAGCCACACCCACTTTTGCACTTTGCTGTGATGAGCTTAGCTTCATTCTTGGGAAATTTCAAATCATAACCTTTTATGACAGACCAGTCTTTAAGAACATCTTTGAATTTGTTTTTGGTAGGAAATTTCATACCAAACTTCAGCTCAAAACTTGCCATACTCATGCCATCATTCCATTCATCATCCATTTGAGAGAACTGCTCATCATCCTCCACATCATTGTACCAACCTTCATTAGACTTTTGCATATTTTCAGCTTCTGCTCTTGCTGATTTTTTCTTCTTTCTCCTCTATTTCATCCATTCTTTAGCCATCTTGTGAACTTTCTTAGCATGATCAGGATCCCTCTGCTGGAATATATCATCATCTTCAGGGCCTTCTAGATCTTTCAACTTCTATTCAGACAATTCAGATGACATATCATCACTACTTTGGTCAGGTACATACATTTCATCATCTGAATCATCATCATCCTTACTTTGGTGTCCTTCATCCTCATCAGGTGATCCACGTTGTCCATGTGGTGCAGTTTCATGCGGTATCTCCTCTTCTTGGCCAACATGTGATCCACATTGTCCCTGTGGCGTAGTCTCATGAGGTATCTCCTCTTCTTGGCCAACATGTGCCCCAGATTGTCCATCTTGTGCTTCAAACTCATGAGGTATCTCCTTTTCTTGGCCAACATGTGCCCCAGATTGTCCATCTTATGCTTCAAACTCATGAGGTATCTCCTTTTCTTGGCCAACATGTACCCATGGTCCCTGTTGTGCTTCAAACTGAAGAGACATCCCATGTTCTTGGCCATCTTGTGCACATGCTCCTGTTCTTGGCAAACTATCTGCATGTTCACCCATATAGCTTGGTTCTGCTATGGCTTCTGTGGTCTCTTCATTATCCTCATCTATAAAGCTCTCTTGAGTATAGGGATACTCAAGAAGAGGTATCTCTTCTTGTGAAGCAATGATGTTCCCATCACTGTCCATCTTTTGTACAGGTCCTTGTAAGTCCTCAAAATATAGTGGAATCACATAAATCCCTTCATATTTCTTCACCAACTTAAGGATATCTTTATCAGATTCTATCTTCATTAACTTTCCTGTCTTTAGGGTCTTCCCAGGCTTATGTGAATAAATATCCACAACTGATGATTTGCCACCAGCTTGCTTGTAGATATCCATGAGTTCGAAGAAGGACAACTTGTCAACATCATCCCATTGAACTGCAATCCTCTGACCCCCAAAATACTACAGATAAGGCTCCCATTTTATTGCTCCCCCAACTCTAACATCAAAACAGACAGCCATTCTGCATAAAAACAAGAATAAAATGACCAATTTAATTGATTGATGTAATGGAGAATATAATGTAAACAAAAAGGGACCACAACATATACAAAGCACATCATATATTGTTGGATAATTCCATTGTTGCCTTAATATTTTTCAGAAGAAGGGGACCACAATATGTACAAATAAAAAATTACAAATATTATTTCAAAAGAAGGGGACCACAACATAACATATATAAAAACAGTAAAAACAAACTATATATTGGTGGTTTATTTGTATTTCACACACACAAGGACCATTAACATAAACCCTAATTTAGTATAACAAGTAAAGATTACAAAATAAGCAGAACACTGCAAACCCTAATTTTGATTGACACACTGCAAACCCTAGATTAGATTAGATTGACACACTGCAAACCCTAGATTAGATTAGATTGACACACTGCAAACACTCAAGGTTCAATACATAAACAATCTAGTAAAACACAAGAAGAAAGTAAATGTGAAAATACCTTAGATAGATTGACAGCGAAAAACCTAATTTGTCGCGGACTAAAAGTAACGAAGCAATTCTTCTTCCACCATATTGAAGCTATTCAAAAGTCGCCATCGATGTGAGATTAACAGAAGTTCGTAGTCGATTCAGTACATTTGTTTGAAATTTGGGATTTAGGGATTTTTTCGTATTTGGGACTTTTGGATTTTCGTTCTCTGTACTAGTGGTTGTGAATGTGAGACGACGTTTCTAAAGCAAGGGACATAATGGGAAGTCTATAAAATTACTAACTCTGTTTGCACCCGGGGACAAGAAGGGGAGCGTGAGCCGTCGACACTAAAACATGAGGGGATAGTATGCATTTTTTGAAACACATGGGGATAACGCGCACATTAATGAAAACACAGGGAGATTTGGTGCAATTTGCCCTACAAAAATACAATGTAGTCAAATCGAATTAGTAATAGAGACATACAATAATTTGTAATCATTATAGAAATACGTATAAATTAAACATGTTTTATGTGTATTTAATCTATGTATATATATATATATATATATTAAAAAGTTTAAGTCTTAGACTATATATATACATATATATACATATATACATAGTAAGCAAAATTAAAAGTTTGGGGAGACAATGGCGTCCCTTGTACCAAGGTAGATCCGCCCGTCTTCGAGTGCTTTCTTCGTGAAAAACTGAGGCTGATAGTGCTTGTTTTTCACTTATTGTTGTATTAACCAAGACTTTCAGTGCGAGTTTACATATTTTATCGTTTTTGAACCAAGACCGTTAGCGCGGGTTCGACCACAAAACCAAGTCCCGATATATGATCTTTATTAAACTCCTTAGACGTCTTAAGGCTATAGACTTATAAAGTATGTCGTCTAATCTGTGAAATATGAGATTTCTACAGTACTATAAATCATTATGATGTTACGCATCCGACTCAGTATGCCTTCACGCATTGTTATCTTTCTCATCTGGACCAACAAAAGGGTCTTCTTTGAGGAAACAAGATAGAGAAAGGGCGGTAAGATAAAATAATACCTTTTGTTTTCATCTCTTGAAGTCGGTGCTGAAAAAGATCCCACTTACGTATCAACGACATGAGTGGAATGAACGGAATGGTGCTGAACGACAATGATTGCCTCAGAGTAGCGCGAGTGCTTTTACTCGACATTTCATAAAATGTCACTATTCCATCCTTGATTGTTTGATATGTCATATGTGTGTACATACTCGTCTTCCGGAGAATAGCAAAAAACAACATGAATGGAGAATGATAACGAACAACCCGATCAAACGAGTCGGGTTCTAGTTTTCCGACTCGTCCCCAACGATATTATTCTAGAGTTCTAGTATGTTTAATCTAATGCATGATTTCTAGCTTGTTTTGAACCGTCTAAATATTCTTTAAAGACATAATGATTGCGAATTCATTAATCTTTAAATTACTTCAACTCAATTTTGAGTTATACAAACTCAAATTCTCCCATTTTTTAAATTTTAGAATTAATTTTTCATTCATCTTAAAATTTTAAATTTTTATTTAAAATCTTCTACTTACGGAAAAATGAAACCTTATACTCGATACAAAACTAATTTATCTTATAATTTTTTTTATTTTTTTAATTTTTTTGGACATTGGGTCTACCCTTTTTACTGTTTAAGCATCTTTCTCGTAAATAAAGACATCGATTTTACCAACTTTGTCCTTTTCTTCTAAAAGCCGACAAATTTCTTTAAAACTGTAAACCATATTTTATGAACAACCAATATATTTCGAGCACCACCAAATTACCCAAGTGAAAGCATTTTAATCCCACTTTTCAATGAGACGAGTGCCTAGGATTCCACGGATATCTCACAAATCTAACTCTTGGCCCTGTTATATATTTATGGAAGAATTGCATTTTTAGTCTTAAAATTTTAATTATTTCGCCTTTGATTCTGTAATTTAATATTTTATTGCAATTTTAATTATTCGGGACTGAAATTACCGCATAATTTAAAATTACATGACTTAAATTTTTAATAAAAAATCTTTTTGAATAGATTTTTTATTAACAATTTAAGTCCTGTAATTTTAAATTTTGTTGTATTTTCAGTCCCAAAAGACTAAAATTGAGTTGAATTTTAAAATTATGGGATCAAATAGCAAAAATGTTCAATTCTTAGGGCTAAAAACGCCACTAAATCAAACCACAAGACTAAAATTGCATTTTTTTTCTCTATATTTAATATTGCTGCTAGTATATCAAGTTAAGAAACAGTGATAAAAAACTACAAGTCAATCATTCATAAGTGTGTGTATGTACTGTTTTGTAAGATTGTTAAATCATCCTGGGTCACCATTGCTAGTGTGTGTACTGTTTTGGTGACTATGGTGCCTAGTTAGGTCTCGTTTGTAAGACATTTCTTATTGAATAATTTTATTTTGTTTCTCGTTGGAAAAAAAAAAAAAAAAAAAAAATCATTCATAAGTGACAAAAAAATTTGAAGCGGTAAAAGGAGAAAGCAAAAAATGTAGATCCCATTCAAATTATTTGGTCGGATGTGCTACTTTTTTTTTTTCTTGTCACTTAACGTGAAATGATCCAATAATTCAAGATATTTTCAACAAATACACTTCATTTTAAGCGTGGTTTGTAGACAAACGTTCACTAACTTCAATTTATATTACGTTTTTCTAACACATATTGTCGCTTTGTCTTATATACATGTCTACGTATAAATAACAAACCTTCCGCGTGCCAGTTGGGCAAAATTCTTTCTTAGAGGTTGTATAGTTTGATTTTCTCGTATTTTAATTGTTCAAGTTTTCATTAAATAATCTTCTTCTTCTTATTATTATTATCTATAATTTTAACTAGAGTCGGTGCTAGCATTTTTAGGCCCTGGGCCAAATGTAAGAATAATGCTCCTCCTTTTTGTTCAATACAATGAAATTTTTGAGATTTCAACCGTTACTTTGTTTATCCCATACATTGAGTAACTTTGAATGAATTAATAATAAAAAAAAAAAGTTGCTCCTCATTTTTGTTTATTTCAATGCGACAAGCTAATAAGCTAAATAAATAAGTTATAAACAAATTTATATGAACCTAAATCATAAGTGAGTACGAACACCATTATTTACAAAATTATATAATTATGTGTAAGTTGAATATTATATTTATATAAATCATTATAATTTTGTGGAGAAAATTAACTCTCCTTTATTTTAATGTAATTTTATTAAATAGCATTCATATTATTTTACACTTTTTACTTAATTAAATGATTTTTTATTCAATGAGTTGTAATTTTTCTAAAATAAACAGTGATTATAATTAATACATAAATGATAAAGATACACAAAAAAGAAAAGAATCTAATAGGAATGGAATAAAGATGGTGTTGGTAGGTTCTCATCTAGAATTTCATATTGTTTTGTTCATTTTCATTGTTGTACATTTATTATCATTTTTCTTTTTTTTGCAATTAATGCTTGTAGAAACCGATCTAAGTATTGATTTAGTTGCCTTGGGTTCTTTGGGAGAAAATGGAGGTTTATGTCAATAATTAGGCCCAACATACATTGGGTCGGATTGTATCACAATCATCTCCATCTCATAGGCAATACTTATTAGAGAAAATTGCACCCCTTACTATCCCTTTTAAATTATATTACATCTTTGGACCCCTTATATACTTATTTTTAAATTTACCTAAAGAAGCTAAAATATTATCAATTGTACCTAAAACACACTTAACCGTTACTAAAATTTTCCCTAAATAAAATCGATGGCTTTCTTTCAGATTCTTTCATCAGATTTCTATAATCCATAGTACTTCATCTACTTGCAGCAAGCATCATGACACCAACTATGCTCCGCTCACCCTCCCCACTGGCGCACCGGCCGACGATGGCGTCCCTGAGATGCCACCGAACGATTCAAACCTCGCCGCAATGAAGAACCATATCCGCTCGCCACCGACGACTGAAGGACCACCGCTCAGCCACGAACAACCATCGGCCGACTCCGATGACCGGCGTGTCCCTCCGCCGCCAATGAATCCCTAGTTCAAAAAAAATCCCGCAGCCTCCTTCCGACTCAGCACGAACCCTAGCTGCAGCCGAGCGAGGGTATGTGGTTCAATTAGTTACTCCGTATATCTTAGGTATATTTGAGGTATATGTGGGTTCTAAAATCAATTTTGAGAAACAGTTGAAACTCGATTGTATATATAAAGTATATTTTATGTATATGTGTGTCCCGATCTGTCCCAAAACAACACATGTACATAAAATATACATAAAATATACACTCAAGATTCTTGTAATTCAAGCCAGCGAAAGATCAGGACACACATACACATAAAATATACTTTAAATATACACTCGAATTTCAATCGTTCATCAAAATCGATTTCAGAACCCACATATACCTAAAATATACCCAAGATA